AGATAACCGGCCGCGGCGCTTCCTGCGGAGGCCGGGGCTGGTGCCGCCGGTTCTGGTTTCCCGCGGGGGCGGGGAAGGGACCCCCTGAACTCCCTGCTCTGTCCCCGCAGTCTGCACGGGGACCGACATGAAGCTGCTGCGTCCCTCCAGCCCCGAGAGCCACTACGAGACCCTGCGGCACCTCTACCAGGGCTGCCAGGTGGTCCAGGGCAACCTGGAGCTCACCTACCTGCCCCCCGGCGCCGACACCGCCTTCCTCAAGGTGTGCAGGGGACACACACCCCCCCAGGGCGGGGGTCTGGCTGGCCCCTCACTTGTGTCTTACTCTGGGGAGTGTTCAGGGAAGGGCAACAGAGCTGGGAAAGGGGCTGGAGCACAAGTTGAGGGGGAGCAGCTGAGGGAGCTGGGGGTGTCCAGCCTGGAGAGGAGACTGAGGGGAGACCTGCTGGCTCTGCAACTGCCTGAGAGGGGGTTGGAGCCAGGGGGGGGCGGGCTCTGCTCCCCAGGGACAAGAGATGGGACAAGAGGGAACGGCCTCAAGTTGTACCACGTTTAGGTTGGTTAGACTGAATATTCCTGGAGGTGTTTAAAAGCCACACAGACGTGGTACTGAGGGATATGGGGTAACTCTGGACTAGGTGGAACGGGGTTAATGGTTGGACTCAATGACCTAGAGGTCTTTTCCAACCAGAACCATCCCGTGTGTCCCCTCATCCCCAGGACATCAAGGAGGTGCAGGGCTACGTGCTGATCGCGGAGAACCAAGTGAGCCAGTTGGAGCTGCAGAACCTGCGCATCATCCGGGGCACCCAGCTCTTCCAGGAGCGCTTCGCCCTGGCCGTGCTGGGCAACTCGGGCCCCGCCGGCTCCCCGGGGCTGCGCCAGCTGGGCATGAGGCACCTCACAGGTCGGGGACCCCCTCACCGAGGGGGTGGCTCCTGGATTGGGGTGCTCGGGGGTCTGGGTTGCTGGGAGCTGCCAGGTCCTGCTGTGTCCCTGCTGGGAGCTGCCAGTCCCAGCTGGAACTTCTGGTTCCTGCCTGGGACTCGGTGTCCCCATGGGGCTGCAGGGGTCCCTCATCCAGGGCTGGTTGTGCCCATGGGGTGGGAGGTCCCTGTCCAGGACTGGGTGTCCTAATGAGGCTGCAGGACCTTCCCTCCCTGTGCTTACCCCCCCCGGCCTGTCCCCTCACAGAGATCCTGAAGGGGGGGGTGCGCATTGAGAGGAACCCCCAGCTCTGCTTCCAAGAGACCATCCTCTGGTCCGACATCTTCCACCGGCACAACGAGCTCCGCGGCGAGACCCAGGTGGAGAGCAACCGCACCCGCA